AAAAAAAATAGAGAAGACTTTTTTTATCATTTAAGTCAATTCTCATAGTTAATGATTGGAGAATGTCACTAAAAATAAATAACTTGTTTATATTCCATTCAATAGAAGACAAATATATCAATAGGAGATAAATATATCAATAATAACAAATGAGAAGATCATTTTCTCAATATTAATCATTAGAAACCAAATGAAATTCTTTTCATTTTTATTTCTTTTCTAGTTTTATAATTATATTTAGTAGAATCATCAACTATGTTCGACACTATTTAAATTATTAAGTATCAAGAAATGGATTCTCAAATGATATATCTTTCACTTTATTTTTATGTATTTATTTCATTTAAAATAAAGGTTATAATGAGTGAACAATTCTGATGCTTACTGCATATGATCGGTTTAATATAGAATATTTATGATGAAACATCATATGTTGATGAAAATAATACCATCACTTTCTTCTTCCAGAACAGTTTTGAATAAAAATGTTATATCTATTGTAAATATCAAACTCTACGAGGTAGCATATGACGTAAATTAGTTCAAATAACAGTTAATATAATTATTTTTATATAAAAAAAAACATTAAAAATCAGCACTTTTTGAAGGAAATAAAAAGTTTCATGAGAAAAAAAAGAATGTATTTGAACAAGCTATTTTATTGTTTTTCATTTATTCATTGCAAAGTCTATATAGAGTTAAGCTGTAACTACGTTGTTAGTTATCGAACTATTGTTGAAAAGATATTGCGTCGATCAAATAATTCAGTATTGATATAACTGCAGTTTCTTTTATGTTCACTTTGTCTACATAAATATTCAATCACAAATTAACGAATAAGTTGGAAGTTTTGTTTTTCCAGTGAGAAAAATGATTAAGAGAACATAAATAATTTTGCGTGGTTTAGAGAGTATTGAAAGATAAATAAAATATCCAAAATCACCGACAATCACATCTAAATGTAACTATTCAATGAATCTACCTATTTCATATGACTGTCATTGTAATTAGAATCATAGTTATAGTTTTCTTCAATGTTCTTTATCGACTTCCAATTAAAAATCAATGAATAACAAATCGTACAATGAAGATCGATCTCTTTTTGAAGTGAAGAAACAATGTAAAGATAATCACAATGTTACTTTCATAATCATTTATCTATTCTGTAAAATAATTATTGCATAAGATAAAATAAAATCAGTGATATTTCTAATCATAAATATTGTCTAATTCTCAATTATTTCAAAAGAATCTTTGTCAATAGTGGAGCATTTTAACATCAGCTTTTTTTCTCTGTGAGGAAATGTTGCATATCCTTTGAGCAGTGCTGATTTTTCAATGTTTTATTAACTAATAATTACAGTAAATGTTGTCCCAAATAATTTCATATTTATAAAAGATAACAACTCTATCTGACAAGAGTTGTTGTTTTTTTGAAAACTAACATTGAAAAAGGAAGTGAGCTGATTGTTTTTATTGATATTTGATGTTTTGCTGCAAATGTTTTACATTAACATAATGATATACGTCAGAAAAAAACCTGATTATTTAAAGTAGAGAGAGAGAGAGAGTACGACATCAGAGAAGCATGATAAATATTTTTTCTATTATTTTATTCAATTTCTAGTTGAAATTGGTATGAAAAATCTTTGACTGACAAAAACAATATCTAAATCTATTTTTTATGTCACCAGATTAGTTGGTAAGAAACATTAGATATTACTTGAAATATAGATTTCAACAACTAATGAGAAACACATATGATTCTTTGAGAAAAGATATGCAAATAAACGGTTTAGCTTCTTTGTAATTATATTATTAATGATTGAAAATCTATTAATGGAGAAAATGTTTTTGTCAATTTTAGATTGTAAAAGTATTAAACTTTCAACAAGATATCAACAATGAATAACAACAACAGAATAGGAGTTGATAATGATGATGTAATTTATTGAGAAAAAGAAAAAGTATATAATATAATTTTTGTTTTTTTGATTATTTTAGTCTGAAACAGTTATTTCGAATGGAGAGCAACGAAAATCATTGTATGTATTATATTATGAGTTGTAGACATTGATAAAAAAAAGATTTATTATTCTAGATTTCAATATTTGAAAACAAAAAAAGTTATGTGGATCATATTTATTTTTATTGTTGCTGTTTTAATTATAACAATTCCCATAGTTCTTAACAAAAGAAAAATGATAGACAGTACAGATATACCAACAACAACGGAGACGATGCAAACAACAAGAAAAGGTATAGTTATATAAAAAACAAATAATTTCTTATTTAGAATTTTAGATATGTTATTGGAATAACGATATAACATAGGAGAATACAATTAGAACTTAATTGTTTATCATAATAACTTATACATCCTACTTCTAAGCAACAGAAAAAAAGCTTTTTTCGAGATCTATAACGGAATTTGTTAGCATGTAGTAGAATATATATTATGAAGAAGTCTGAGAAAATCAGATACCAGTGATAGTTCGAGATCTTGGATTTCACTGATACTTTTTATATGCTATAGACAGTAGTGACATTAGGATTACCTGAAATTTTAAGCTCGATTAGATCACTCCTTCCTATACAAACAGACACAACACGAATGGAATTTTCGATATTCCAGCGATTTTGACGGAATATCCTTGAATAAAGGTCACTTTTCGAATTCCTGAGAATTCAAATAATATAATTATGAGAGAAATTTGCTGGAAATTTATCTGAATACTTTTAAGGATAATCATGGAAATCTCTTCTAACTAAAAAAGCTGTTAGCAAAATTCTTATACGTTTAAAATGCGAAACTTGAAATAACCATTATAACATCAGTCCATTTTATTATAATAAACTCATATTTACGGTTGATATATTGTTGAAGAAGAAGAAGATAAAAGAAATTAGGAGTAAAACCTTATTCAATCGTTTAAACTCATTTCTGCAAAATAGAATCGACTACGACATCAACAAAAAAATCAACTACAACATCAACATCAACAACATCGTCAACATCATCAACTACAACATCAAGTTAGTACTATGTTAAATGATTTGTAGTTTCTCAGATGGTGATTACCACAAGTGACAACATCGAGAAGTTTTCGTTTTAGTGGTCGAATATTCATCATCTAGATAAATAATATAAGGGAAGATTTTATATCAGACGTTGAAATAGGATCAGTTTTGATGACTTGATTTGATCTTCACTGATTCAAATATTGAATATACTTTGCCCTGTCCAATATTATCATACGAATTGATTGTTCATAAGAATATTTTCAAGCAATAGGACTCATTGATTACTTTAGCAATCTTTTATAACATCGTGAACGGTTAATAATGATAGGTACTGTTTAACTGAATAAAGTTGGATAACATCAGTACTTGTAAACATAGTGAAGGAGATAATTCGAATCACTTATTAAAACGAAAAAGTTAGATTTTTTTTATCATGTCTAAACTTTATAATTACTATCACTTATTAATCAAAACCTCTGCGTGATATCGAATACCATTTGTAGCTATCACTATTACTATTAGCATATTATCAACAGTCATATCATTTCACACAAACAACTGAAAATTGACTTGTATTTTTATGCAAATCATCCGTTTCATTTAACGTAAAGAAATATTTTGTTATCCTTGTGTATTATACAAAATTCACATAGTAAATATTTCTAGTCGATAATAGTTACAAGATGAATAAAATATGAAAAAGAATTCGTGAAGCATTAAGTTAAGATTATGTGAGAAAAGTAATGAAAAGAATTAAAATTTACCTTTACAACAGAAAACATATATTTTGATTTTATTAAGACAGACGAGTTTTAATCTATTATTTACTCATGAAATAATCAATTTTTATCTAATTTAATGGCATAACTCTACACATCGAAGTACTACGTAGTTATATATGATATCGACATACGACATATCCTATTAACATCTAATCTCATGTTTTTAAATACCATTTGTACAGAGTCAAAAAAAATTGAAAAGAAAACCGTGGAAGTATAAACTGATAATTTCAAGATCGAGAAAAACACTCATTATTATCATCATTAAATCCTTAGTATAGTGAATTTCTCATGAGAATAATGTGAATACTATATCGTCTCACACACCAGTTGAACTGAAAGACAGCATTTGCCATGAGATGGTAAATTCAGATTTTCAGGAAATTCGATTAAATATTTTTAAGGATAATAATAAAAAAAACTCTTTTAATTAAAAAAATAAGTATGAAGTTAAAGTGTAACTTCGGATTGGATTGAATTGAGTTAGGTTAAGTCAAGTAAGGAAGATATTTATATGTATATATATAAGACATCTTGAGGTTATGAGTGGGTGTGGATGAAGAGAAGACAACCACTCACATTCGAACCAACCCCCGCGAATCATTCATCCATAGCCATACTCTCACATCAAATCATGTATTATATATCTATATATATATATACATATAGATATATATTCTTACTTGACGTGACATGAACCAACTCAATCCGACCGATTATCGAGCTAGGTTTTAGAAAACACTGGATCTGTCGTTTCCTTTTCTTCCATTTTAGTCTTATCATCAAATGTCTGTGTAGACACTACCGAAATAATCTTCAATAATCATCAATTTATCTACTCACCTACCTCACAAGTCTATGCAGCTGGTATGTTAAACAATCAATTTGGTGTCTATATTGCGCACGGCTATGGAAATGTTACTTCGACAAAAATTTGGTTAGCAGGACACCAGGATTCCTTTCCGACTTATCTTGTGATGCAACCAGATCGTAATCTGGTAGTTCTTAAATCTGATACTGGTCAAGTATTATGGGCATCTCATACTCATAACAACGGTAGTGGAAAACCATTCTGCTTGGAAATGCAGGATTCAGGAAATTTGATATGGATCGATAATACTTCTTCAATTATTTGGGAGACAGAGACGGTACAATACGAATAGTTTTTCTTGATATTATATTTAATTAAAATAAATCTGACAATCTTAGCATGAGTCTTCAACAAAATTCTGTTGACATATAAACAAAAAAATAAGATAATATTGTGGGTGTGGGTGTGAGCTAATATAGGAGACAAACATACCCACACCCTCTAGTAACAACATTCCTGTTTCAGGTCCACTCATACAGAAACAAGCCCGGTGAATGCTGATGATTTGAAGGTTAGCAACGGCTGACTCGAACAGTTTAGAATAGGTCACGACATACAATATCGAACCATATGTGGAAAATCTGCAGCAGTGAACATCGCAATCGTTGATGAATGGCGAAATCGACCTTCATCAATAAGTGAAAAAGATACCTTTATATTTAGCATTAACCATAATAGATTTTAATATAAAAGGTACATAGTCAACATTCTTCTATACTAATCGTACACTGTGTACATGTAAAACTTCATTCAACGTGGAACTGCCATAAGATGAACATCTTCTTTAATGAACGCTTTTCAAACAGCCCCATGAGTGTTCATCTTAGGGAGGCTTTACTGCATTTGTAACTGACAGTGCAATTCTTTGATATCAGGATCGAAAGACTCGAAGTTCGTAGACTTCTAATTCAGTGTTGAAAGTGATCCTTCTAAAGAGTTCGAACGTTTCAATGTATTTATTGCGTGAAATGATTAAATGATTCATAAACTAGTTTATCTTACACTTGATGGCTAAAGAAAAAAAAACGTCATAACAATGTTCGTATTTCAGTGCTGTTGTTACATTCCAGTAGTTAATATAAAATATAGTTAAAGCGTTACTCTCTCTAAATCTATATATACTGTTCTGAAGATCATGTACTTAAGCTTTATATCTATAATGCTGTATAGTTATAGTGTTAATTATCGGCTTAACTACACTTTCAATCAGGGTGTGGGTGAGAGTGTGGATGTTGGTGTGAGTGTGAAGGTGCGTGAGGGTGTGGGTGTGAGCCTTATTCGTATCTCACACCCACACCCTCACACACCCTGTTATCTACTAATAGATGTCAGGAAGAGAGAGAGAGCTAGTGTTTAGAAAGTAAATCTAACTAGTCGTAGCACTGATTTAAGTCCAATATAACCGTTGCTCTCAATACTAATTCTAACAGTAACATTTTTTTATCTATTAATACAATGTATCATTTCTTTGATTGTAACCTATATTGCTTATAGCTTACTTTTCTGACAAATTTCCTATTTTTTTTAATCAAACTTGTCCAAATTTCATATTATACTGATTAATCAATGAAAGAATTCAACTGAAAACTATTTATAAATGCTTCCAATAGTGATAAATATTCATATTTTCAATTTAAGCGAACAATATTATACTTTATTTTAATATATTTTCCCACTTGTAATCGTAAACATGATGTGATAATATACAGAAGAAAAAGAAAACAAAATGGGAAAGGAAGAAATGCTAATGTTTATTTGTATAATTTGTTATATTGTCAATAGAAGATATGAAAGAAAGATGTGTAGTTTTAGCTTAGGTTGTGGATAAAAATGTGATTTAACTATTGACCATGTAAGAAAAACCAGCATCATATTCGAGTATTTTTTGTCCGAATTCCCCTAGGAATTTGTGCTGGATTTAGAATTTAATTCTCTATTAAATGATGTTATTTTCGAGGGGGTCGTCGGAATAAAAAATATCGGCACATCTATGCACTCATACCCTCAAGAATTGCATCGAATTCCGTAAAAACATTAGAAAAAAAATTTGCTTGAATTTTGCATTAGCGCAACCTTATATATTTTTATGAAAAGTTTATTTTTCAAAAAACTGAATAGGTAGTAAATCAACATAAGATAATTTATGCATAACTAAATCATGAACAGAATTTATTTTTGTAATATATATATATCGAAATATATAGGTGCTTGTGATAGTCTTACATTGAAAAAAATCCGCATATTAATCTACCTTTGCACTTAAACATTTTGTCAATAAATTATTATTAAGAGCTTATGCAAATGTTATCAACCATTTAAGGGTTTAATATTCGAAACGTTTATGAAACTAGAGGTTTATGAAAGTGTGAAGGGTATATGATGATTATATCAGGGTTTCTTATTGTACAATTTTCACATACGAGTATATTTTTCAATCCATATCATTAGATTATATTGTACACGTTTAGGATAAGGATATCTTATTATTCTCTTTCAGATTGAATTAATATACAACTGCGTTTTTAAACAGAATATACCGCCCTTCCAATAAGCATCTCATTATTCTATGCACTGGGATTGATTTACGTATTTCTTAATCGAAATGATTTATTATTCTAAGTATAGAGGCTGATTATTGTATGCTTTCGTTAGAAAGGTTTATTATTTTATTTGTTCCTTGGAACCGATTTGATATTTATGGTTCAATTTGTTTTAATACAATTCTGAAAACATGCAGATTTTTCAAGATATATTTATATTCGATATCAATGAGTAATAACATGATTATTTTTTTTCACCAATAACTGATGTTAAATCATGTCTTCGTTTTTTAGATTAACTCTTTCCCTCCCACATCTTTCTCTCTATTCCTATATGACCATACGACTATATACATAGATTTGCTACTCGCATCATACACCATAAGTATCGACGTCTGTTTACAGTTACCACTTTTCTTCTTCTTTCGATAACAAATGAAATCAACAAGAGTTAAATCAGAATTGGACTTGCTTATACATCAAGAAATGATAAATGTAAAATCAACTATTCAATCAAATGTTTTAGATATGTTTTTTGGTCTATTTTCATTTTTGACCATGAAGTTCAGGAAGTCCGAAAGAACCATACAACAACAACAAGAAGAAAAAGATGAAGATGCACGCTTTCTTCGGCAAATAGGCTATACACAAGAGCTCTATCGTGGATTTTCTCCATTTATGTCATTTTCATTTTGTTTCACAGCTGTCAACGTGCTCACAGCAATTTCGCTTGGTTTCACTTATCAAATGAATCGAGGTGGTTCAGGTGTGGCCATATGGAGTTGGATCATTGGATCTTTCTTTACAATTCTCATCGGATTTTCATTAGCAGAAATATGTTCAGTCTATCCTAGTGCAGGTTCTGTTTATCATTGGTATGTTTACAAATAGATTCTTTTTTTTTTTCAATCGATTCATTAATTATTACAAATATAGGTCCGGTATGCTTGTGCCTCTGCGATATGCACCATTAGCTTCTTTTACCTGTGGATGGTTCAATTTTTTTGGTAATGTTGCAGGTAAGAAATAAAATAAAAAAGAGTCTTCTGTTTTGAAATATCTCCGATTTATCACATACAAATGAAGGTGATGCAGCGTTTGCATCTGGTTTTGCAACTATGGTGAATACTGCAGTTGTACTAAATGGAAAATCATCATTGAATACTGGAGAACAAGTAGGCATTGCTATAGCAATTACATTTGTATGGACTCTTATCAATACTCTACGAATCGACAAACAAGGATGGATCAATAACATAGCTGCATTTTTTCAGATCAGCTCTGTAATCATTATCGTCATTGTTCTTCTTGTTATGGCTCCAGAACGAGCTACTGCTACGGATGTTTTCACATCTACCTACAAAAATACCGAATTTTCTTTTGGTTATGTGTACTGTATTGGAATACTTTCAACACTTTTTATATTCTCTGGCTATGAAGGTATATCATATAGATAGAAAGACAATGTAGACAAAGAGATTTTGATATTATTCTGTTTTTCTTTTGTAGCTGGTGCTCATTTGGCGGAAGAGACTAGAGGTGCTACCAGAGCAGGTAAGAGGGACAGAGAGAGGGAAAAGAGGATTGAAATCTATAAAAAAGAATATATCTTATCATTTTCGTTATTTGACAGCACCCAGAAGTATCGTTGGTACATGTGTATGCAGTGCAATTTTCGGTGTTGTCTATTTACTCGCTCTTCTTTTTGTCATTCCGGATGTGACCACATTTATGAGTGCGAATAGTGGTGATAATGAAACAATCAATCTCGTCGTAGCTGTCTTTCAATCGGTTTTACCACATAGAGGTGCACTTTCACTTACTATTCTACTTATTATTAATCTTCATTTTGCCGGTACATCATCCATGACAGTCACAAGTCGAATTGGGTAAGACTTCTTTTTTTTTTGTAAATTTCAATCAAACAAAGATCTCACAATCTATGTATCTTTAGCTTTGCAATGGCTCGTGATGGCATATTCCCATTTTCAAAACAGCTTCGTTGGGTATGGGAACGGCAAAAAATACCTTTAGTCAATGTTATCTTTGTATTTACCATTGATACACTCTTTCTACTACTTCAACTTGTATCGGAAGCAGCATTTAGTTCTATCATTGCTGTTACTACACTAGGCTATCAAATATCATATCTAATGCCTATTCTTTTTCGTTGCACAACTGCTCGACATACATTTCATTTGGGTGAATTTAATTTAGGACGATTTAGTGTTCCAGTTGCAATCATCTCATGTATATGGCTTTCTATTACATCGATTCTTATGTTTTTACCTTTTGAGTATCCAATAACAAAAGATAGTATGAACTATGCCATAGTAATTATTGGTGGTGTTGCATTAATTGCATCGATCTATTGGATTTTTTGGGCTAGACACTTCTTCGTTGGACCAAAACCACCTTATATCATTGATCCAATGCCGTTACCACCTGGACATGTTACAGCTGAAGATGTTTCGACAAGACCGGTACCCAATCCACCTATTAGTATGGTCTCTCAGCTGTGAACTTTGTGTATATACATGTGTGTACATTGTGTGATTTCTTGCTTTCGAACATGATGCAAAGCTATGTAATAATTAAGTAACTGATTAATTAATCAAAGACTCACTTTCTTGAAAATATAAAAGCACTTAAGCCACTGTGACAACCAGGATGTGAGTGTGACAGAAACAAAAGACTATTCACATCCACACCCCGTCTAAGAATTCTAAAAACAGTTGATACCAAGATAGTTTAGTGGTGATCTGCTTGTGGACTAAGTTTCAAGTCCAAATATGCAACATTTGGTTTATTGAAAAAGTAAAATTTTATTAAAAAAAGTATATTACAATGTCAATATCTTAGTAAAATTACAACTTGCGTACATATCTTATTAATCTTTTTATAACTTATATGCACTCTATTTGTAAACAATTTCCGAGCTCAAGAGCTTTTTAGTATCAAGATGATTTCCTCATCAGTTGATCATATCGAATTGATATACCTAGTTCGAAGTTTTCCTTTAGTTTTGCCACTTCACAAAGTCTTGCTTTGGCCGCTCTCGATAGTAATTTGCAGTGTCGTACATCGAGTGTAGTCAGTGATTGATTTTGATTCATAATGTCAATGAAATAATTCACACTCGCATCAGTCACTAGGTCATTCAAGTCGAGAGATAGCTTTTTGAGAGTTGTGTTGTGTTTAGTGAGTGCATCTGCTAACAGTTTCACTCCCGCATCACTTATTCGATTCCAAGGTAAAGAGAGTTCGATCAATGTTCTATTTTTTTTCAGCATTTCAGCCAGATAGCCAACACCTTTGTCGGTGATACGATTCCAACCAAGTTTCAGTGATTTAAGAGTCGAGTTATTCTCTGCAAGCACTTGTGCAAGAGAAGCAACACCCACATCACCCACACAATTGCTGAAAATATCTAGTCGTTCTAGTGATGTGTTATTGTGCAATGCTCTAGCCAGGATTGAGACGCCTTGTGATGCAATTCTGTTATTTGGTAAATATAATATCGTGCACTGCTTATTGATCACAGCTTGTTCTGCTACAATATTCATGTCTTGATTTGTCAAGAACTGTCGTTCCAAATCTATTAATGAGTGTGGTTTAGCTTTGGCGATCCTTTCTATGAGCTCCACATTTTGATATATATCATATGATCTTGGTAATATCATAGAGAAAAATTTTTTCGACGCTTTCTCTGGACTAGGATGACCAGATAAAGGCATCAGGAGGTGATATGGTGGCTTGACTTCCTTCAGTTGGATTATGTGCAAGTCATCACTATGACTGGAACAGGCGATAACCTGCAACTGAATGGCAGGTGAAAGCAGCACTTCATTTTCCTTTTCAATATACGAATGTCGACGAATGCTTTTTCCACTGTTACATTCGATTATAAACAAAGTTCTTGGACCTGTTTTTCCAAGAAATAGATCCTGCTCCAAAACATCGATACTTGTCGTACATGAGGAGAATCCCCACCAAACAAATGTCTTGCCCTGAGGATATTCATGGCTCATATCGAGTCTTATTCCTCGATAGACGGTGGTGTGACGCTCAATTGCAGGAAGTTTCGAAAGAGCAGTGAGCACGAGTTTGAGATATAAAAACCACGGTTTCAATTTTGTCCTAACTTCGGTGCGTAGAGTTGAATTGAGAATAGAATAGAATGAATCATCTCTGGATTTTCCTTCAGTGGTATAGAGCATAATAGAAGCTGATTCATCAGGTGACAGTTCATCTAATGGATTTTCACAACGTTGTTTCACAATCCATACTGTTCGTCGAACATCAGGTACAAGTAAACGAAGTGATTTGACAGCCTTTTCAAGTGAAACCAATGGCATCTTCTCATATCCTTCTATAGGCATCAACATTGTGCATGGCTCTGTAGCAACGTCTGAAAAACGACCATTCAAGGTTGGATTATCAGCGTATACAGAAGCCATTTTAAATATTTGTAATATTTAGTTTCTGATATATTTCACTGTAAATTATTGAGGTAGGACACACGAATCAATAGTTCATACTCTGCTAAACAACATGGACGAAATATGAATGACGTAGAAAGATATTATGTTGAACGTTTTAAATGAAAACTTGAGTTTGTTTATTTCGAATTCAGTAAATTTAGTTTATATATGCAACACCAACATTTATGCATCTTTAGTTATTCTCTCGTATTTACCTTAGTTAAATATGCTTGGAGAAAAACAAGCGAATGCATTTTTAAGCGACTCCTGCTCTTTTCCTTCCTTTCTGCTTATTAAAAAATAAAACGAACGACGCACATATCACTCTCATTCTCAGATGAAAGAACGAAATTTTAGATTTTTGTCACATCTCGTTCGAAGACTGAAACAGAAGAAAGCAGAGCTCTTTGGATGCACTCGTTGTCGAGAATGAATTGCAGAATAATTCAAAAGAACTGAGTTATAAAATAATTCAAATAAACAGAATTACAAAGTAATTCAAACGAACTGTATTACAAAATAATGCAAATTTGAGATACTTCATCAGGGATTAGTAGGAAGTAAATATAATAAAATCGAGAGAAAAAGAAAAAAAGTAATAATATATCACTTTCGTTCCATTGGGTTCCATGTCATATTCATCTTCACTATAGCAATTTAAGACGTTATCGACTTCTGCAGCTCTAAAATTTTCTGATTCTTCATCTTATTGTATTTTAAAGCCAAAGATTAGATGTTGTGATTTTTACATGACTCGTTAAAAGTTTTTCCATGAATTATGAATGTCCTTTAATTACATTCTGATTAACGCATGATACGTAATACATAGTTTACATTTTGCACAACAAAACATAAATAATTCAGGATACTACAAGCAATTGAAAAATTTACTTTCATATCACGTGATTTAGTCGTGAAAAAAACGCAGTTTTATCAAAAGTACCTCACTTTTGTCAAGGGTTAAAACTCTTAGATATCTTAGGTGATAGATCTTGATGTAGTCTATTGTTGATAGAAATATTGGATCGACTGGTTGTTGTATTCTGAAATTTTTTATGCGGTAGGACAATACCTTGATAGTTATAAGTCTTATAAACTCTAAGACAGAAGTCACTTTTACTAAAGATAAACAAAATTTTATGGAACACTAAACTCAGTACTCTCTATATCATATCCAAAAATAAGCGGATTCTAAGATGTTCTTCTATCGTGGACGTCTGAGTGATTCACTTCATCCGACCATATCTATTCGATTCATACTTCGTCACTTGTTGAACTTGATTGAATTTATACAAGTATTTGCTCTGTATTGTTTTTTTATCTCTTTCTCTCGTTCTACATTTAATAAAATATGTACACATATATTTATAAATGAAAAAAAATAACAAACAAGTGGATTTTAATGTAACAAATACAAAGTTATGAGATGTTGCGTTGCTTGACGACAATCATTTTTCTCAGTTCTAATATACTTGATGCTTCCGTACTTTTTAATATATATATATATATATGTATATCATATTTTTTTTATTGAGTGGCATGATTCGTAGTGACAAGGAACGGAAGAGAAAGATACAAGAGAAAAAAAAAGACATCTAATTATACATATGTGCAATAACCTTGTTCTATGTGCGTGCATATTTTAGGATAGATTACAGCGAAAAAAACAATATTTGATCTTCTAATCAGTTAACGCGTGTCAAGATCAATATATATATATATATGTATATACATATCGTGATTAGTAGTAAACAGTACATCGTATTCTTTTCAACATATTAAGAAAAAATGATTTAATGATTCTTGTAATAATGTAAGTAACAATTATTTTTTATTTATTATATCATCTATCTATAGATCAGCATTATTAAATACTCATAATAGTGATTATATTCATTTTTATTTGACATTTGTTCGACAGTAAATATCTATAAAATTGTTCATTTTCTTTTTATCTATATAATGAATACAAATGCTCAAGGTATTATTCAAGGTTCAATTAATACAGAATTATCTTATATTGATTATCTACAATCAAAAGCCCTTGATAGATATCTATAATGTCATTATTTTTTATGCATTCATTCAAGTAATTTAAAGTAAGCTTTGATTTAATTACGAAAAAAATAAACATAATCATCAATGTTACAAACCAAGATTTTATAAATGTTTATATAGACAGTGCGTAATATGAAATTAATTAGGTACATAGTATTGCAAAACGGTATGCATGATAATTATTATACTAATTTTATATTATAAACTACATCAAGAATCTCGTAAAATCGACTTCAACGTCATTCACATGCAATATTTCAATAAAAAAAACGTTCGCTTTGGGTAATTTATTTTCAAGTATCTTAACGATAACACTTGAATTCATCGATGGTATATAAATTGTTTTTTTTTTAGTTTTAAGGCGTTCTCTTTCCTTAAAAATCGATCTCAGTTCAAGTACATCCAAAACAGTTGAAATTTGCAGTCCTATAACCAAACAAGGAACAAAAAAAACTAAATTTCTCGATACAGGCTCGTTTGATATATATAATTTTAATTTTATGTGAAAGAACCTGTCAGAATGCGATGTATAATAGAACCCATTTCTTCTTTTTTTTTGAATACTTACTTTATTAGTAGACAAAAGGAATTACAAGGTCAATTAGTCAAAAAATGAATGTCTAGTTTTATAAGTGTTTATGTATATAATAAAAACAATAGTTCTTTCACATAGAAAAAATATATTCCAAGTTCGAAATTTCTGACGAAAATAAACTTTTTCTTTGAGAGGGAAAGCTTTAGATAAAACTTTATTGTCACCGATCAATTTTTATTTTCATTTGCATATTTCTTTTTGTAGGATGTAATAAACAATATTTAGCATCACACATATGTCGAAAAGTCTCTCGAGTAAGTTGTAATAACAACAATAGCATTGCTTACAGAAAACAAGATTAACTAAACTTGTTCAATATTCTTCTTCTTCGTCTTTTTCAACCGATTTTCCAACATATGACTTGTCATTGTGTTATATATGATCAATATTTCTTTTATTCTAGTATAGATCTATATATTTCTACTGTGTATATGTAAAAGAAAAGACTACTTTTCAATATGAAAGTGCGTTTATATTTATGACAATTGATGATGACGGAAAATGTTGGAAGGAGAAGAAGAAGAAGAAAAAAAATGAGAAAAAATAGGAGAAAGACGATGAAGGAGAAGAAGAAGAAGTAAGCAATAATGACTAGAACTATAACTAAAGAGAAAATGAACTACCGATGACGTCAAAGAATAATGAAAGAAAAGGAGACATTGTTTTTTCTGACTACAGACTGAAAATAGTATTTTTTGTTTGTGTGCAATAAATAATTGCTTTTTTTCAAAATATATTTAACGGGAAGGAAAAAAGCAATGGATTGTCAATTTCGCGTTAATAGTTTGATGTGATTTTCTCATTGAACATGTAAGTAAAATAGATGAATCATATATAAATATAAATAATGTAAAAGTAAAAGAAAGACAGACAAATTATAGTTTAGAAAAACAACTTCATTTGTAGTCTAGGTAAGAAAAAAAGAAGAAGAAGAAGAAGCATTATTATTATTTTCCTTAACTTATATATATATTAATTGTTAATGTAAGTAAAGAAAAGAATTAAGGATGCTTCTCTTTGTGATTGCATTAGCTTTCTCTTCTTTTATGTGAATATTTTTTCTTTTTCTTAGCCTATTTTATCGTTATCGATTGGCACAAACAATCTTTATTATTAAGACAACATTGAATACTAACGCCTTTATTTTCGCTTAATATAAACGATAGATAGATCTTGTCTCTTCTCCTTCTTTTTCTAGATTATAAATAGAAGCACATGCGTATAACTATTATCAATAGAATAATTTCTAACAATCATATTTATATTAATCAACTGTGAATGAAACAGTATGTATTCTTATATTTATAAACAATATATAAAAAGATTCTTTTTAGATAGTTGATATTAACATGCTTTTCTTTCGACGTCGTGAAACATCAAGTCAATCAAATTTGACTGATCAAGAACGATGTATTCATGCATGTCTCTTCTTTGTATTTCTATTACTAACACTTACAATAGTTCTATTCTATTTTGCAATTACATATAAAGGTACAGATAATCAACGTGTTTATTATTATATGAGCGGCGGTATTAGTCTTGGTTTTCTTCTATTAATTTCATTATGTACAGTTATGTATATTCGACGATTTTATGATTCTTCTGTATCTTCAACACAAAATCGAAGAATTATATCTGAATCTGATCATGAAAATTCAAAATATTCAAGTCATCATCCGTGATAGATTAATATTATTTGTAACTTTCAAAATGAGAAAAAAATCATATTCATATTTATTTAGATTCATTATTAATAAAAATAAACTACTTTACAATTTAATCATATTATTATAATTGGAGAAAAAATATAAGACGAAGAAGAAGACGAATGTTTTTTTTTCTGTTTATACATAAAAAGGAGAAAATATTTATATAAGCTAAATTAAATTTTATTGCTTAATCGTACGTTCAAGGAAGAAAAGAATCGAAGCGTATTTGATGAAATTTCTCGTCTTATTATAATTATTTAATAAATAACATCAATTGTCCGAGAAAAAGAAAATAACTGAGTTTTTGAAAAAAAAACTTGACTTTATTGTTTAAGTGTTTCTATTGCTAACAGTTATGACTAATGGTTATAGAATTAATGGAAAATGTGTAGACATTGACTGTAACTATAAAAAAAAGACTTATTGTTTTATTAATGTTGCGTGATCAATAGAATATTGTTCTACTTCGAGGCATACTCATTTCTTGTAGAAAATTCAAGGTCTAAATAACGCCTTAGATGACAAATACTTTAATTATAACTCTTGAAGACATAGTTCTATATCTTATGTAATCAAGTATTTCCGGGTATCAAATTTCATCCATCATCAAATATCATGATGTATTCAAAAAAAACTTTGTATATAGACTATGAAAATTATGTTTTATTTAATCATGAGATCTTATTTTCAGTAGCAAAAATATTTTTGTTATTCTTTTTTTTCTTTTTTCATTATGATCATTATTTAGAATAAAAACAGTTAATAAGAAAAAATAAGAACGATAAATTATCATATACTGTAAATAATGACATATTACGGAAGTATACAATACTTCGCTTTAAGATCTTATTTTTATAGAAGAAGATTATTACAATCTCATTCAAATACAACAAAGACACGTTTGCAATTGATTTCTATGTAATGGCCGAAATTTTAACTGAGTAGTTTCGCCGAGTATATCCATCTTGCCCTATTTGAGTATGGCATTTTTGAAATAGCCGGTCGGAATGGGTTAATTCAGCTAATAATAGAAAGAAACCTTGACATGCATCTATTTTTGTTACAATCTCTTTCGTTTGTCGTGCTGTCAACCTCCCTTTCCGTTAGGTAGATATAAGTGTCGTTCTACTCATTGTCTATGTCATATAAAATTCTTTTATAGATGTACTTCTTGTGAAAAAAAAAGAAGAAAGTATAAGAGAGCATGCATGTTAATTAGTAAAGACTAATAATATTAAATGTGGTTTCGTATTTTTCATTTTTGTCAGTTTTAATCATATGTCAATTGATAAGAACGACCTCTTTTGAAAAGTTTCGGATTCGAGTAAAGTTTTGATCGACAGTAATATACCACGTTTACCTTGCTGGATCTTTCATATTTTATTTATTTATTTTCTTTTACAAGATAATTGACTAATTATTGGGTAAGAAATTTCTTTTATATTCTTTCTGAAATATCAAAACTAATTAAGTATGATTTATTGATTGTTTACTAAGAATTTATGTATATATATATAAAATAAAATTTAACTCACGCTACCGTATTTTTTTATATATACATATCTACTATCGTTTGATGCTTTTTTTGTTCAAAAAAAGAAAAGATTCACTAAAATAATACATTTAAATAATGTAGTAAAAAAAAGACACACATAACAAAGTAAAATAAATATAAAAGAGAAGAAAAAGATATGTACAATCTTTTTCTTCTCTTTTGTTTTAAAATAAATAGAATTTTGTTTTTCCCGTTTTGATTAAGTATTTTGATGAAGAATTGACGATATAACTTTTTTATCATGTTCATTTGCTTTAAAATGTTTTAAAAAAGTATTTTCATGCGTATCTGAATCAGTTTGTAGTTGTTTCGTATTCCAATTCTTAACCCAAACATTATGAAATATAGACATAAGGCGAGTAGATTCATTTGTTTTATCTGTTAATTGAGTACAAAATGATTGCCATCGTTGATTAGGTTGAATCGGTGGTCGAGTTTGATCAACTGGTTTTAAACGATCAATTATATGATAATTATTTGATTTTGTATAGTTTTCTTTATTTCTTTCAAATAATGGTTTTTTTAAACGTGTTTCAAATAATTCCCAATGTCGTTCATCGACTTTTTGTCGAATTTGTTCACTTGATTTCGTTATTACTGGTAACGATTGTGGGTTTAAATTTGACATACTAGAATAAATAACGTTTTGTACATGAAACAATTTTATTCTTTGGAAACTATGAAATGTGTTTCTTCTTTTTTATTCTGACCTTGGAATAAAAAATTTGAAAAGGAAAGATAAAACTGCATTTTTTTATTGTCTTTGTTTAAGACATACAATACCAAACGACTTACTTTTTATACTGACATAATATGATTCTGTATATTTTCTTTTTATTTCTTCTCTTTTCTGTCTCATCTTATATTTTTTTTTCGTAAATAACGATACATTCTAATAGAATTATCGAACGAAATGAATCAGTAAATAAATGTCTTATGTTAATGAATATGATATATTTAATGTAGTACAGAATAGATTAGAATTGACGAAAATAAATGTCATCAATGTTAATCTAAATCTTGAAAAGAAAAAAAAACGAATAAATAAATTATTATTTTAACTAACCTTGAAGACGTCAGTTTTTGTAGTTGTTAGTATTAAAATCGCCAAGATTGGCACACCCTTTCCCTTTTTCTTTCTTTCCCTTTCCTTTTTGTATACAATTGAGTTAAATAAGAAAAAAAAAGTGCAATAACTATAAAATCAAAAAAAAAAAAAAAAAAAAAAGGAAAAAGAAGAAAAGTAAAGAACGAAAGGAACAATATTTTATAGGTGTGTTATCTCTTAACTTGCTAATCGATCAAGCATAGAATAAATGAATCATAAAAACAGCGGAGTAAATAACATAATATTTTTTCTAGATTATTATCATGCGTATTGCATTTTTATTCATCGCCTATTGTTGTTCATATGTCTATGGAGGATGTAATTTTCGTGCCGATAAACATACTCAACGTTTTCAAGATCAAATGAAAACATGGAAAATTTTTGAAAAACAGTAAAAGATTTATTCAAAATTTTCTTATTTTAATTTTTTTCCTATTTTTAGATTAACGGTATCCAGTGGTGCATTAACATATTCAGTTGGAATCTGTAAATCACCTATTAATGCAACAGATAGTTCAGCTATAATTCAACAAGGAACTAATATTTCGAATATTCTTGGAAGAATGGATCGAGTCAATCTTGTTGGAACAGGTTAATTAATATTTTACAATAGAAGAAAATAATTTTCATTTTTAGATAATTGGATACTTTTAACATATGAAAATGGTGATCCATATATTAATATTTGTGATAATTCAAGTCGTACAGCTTCAATTATGTTCTCTTGTGGACCGAATATGGTTAGGAAAAATTTCTAAGAATTAACTTTTAATTACTTTGTATTTTGTAGAATAATATTTCAATTCTTCAAGAACATACAGATAGTGATACTCATTGTAACTGCATGTTTCAATTACAAGTACCAGAAATGTGTCCAATTGTTAAAAAAGTTGAAGATAAATTAAGTGGTGGTGCGATCTTTCTTATCATGTAAATAATAATATTTTCGTGATAATAAATTATATATTTTTTTATTTTTATTTTTTAGCTTTTTTAGCGTAGCCACTGCTTATTTAGTTATTGGAGGTACATATTTACATGTCAAACGTGGTGCTCGTGGTCTTGATCGTATTCCAAATTTGGAAATGTGGCGTAAATTAGGTCAATTATCTGCTGATGGATGTGATTTTTGTTGTCGTTGTGAACGAGCTACACCACGTGCTGGCTATTTACTTGAAGAATCGGGACTTGATTATCGTGGTGATGACGATATTCTTTCTCCATAAGCATAATCTCAAACAATCAAAAATAAAGAATCTCTTATTTCAAACCTGATGACATTTCAAAAAAAACCCGACACTCTGATCTCTTCTCATTGAACTTTTTTTTGTCTTTCATAATTATTTATTTTATTTTCTGTTTTATTTGTTCATAATATGCTTTTATGTATTCGCATATATACAACGTTATTTAAATATCAAAATAAATTCATTCCTTTGAAAAAAATTAATTCTTTTGTTCTAGTTTTAGTCATGCAAGACGATCAAACATTAAAAGCTATTCGATATCAACGTGGTTCATTGTCGATCTTAGATCAATTAAAATTACCTGATCAATCAATCTATATTCCTATTAATTCAGTTGATGATGCATGGAAAGCTATTCATACAATGTCTATTCGAGGTATGAATGATTCTTTCGATTAGTCGAAGAATAAAAGTTCCATCAGTGTTAATAGTATTGATTTCTAAACCATGATCATATTTCTCGTTCAAGGTGCTCCAGCAATTGCTGTTTGTGGTGTATTGAGCCTTGCTGTTGAACTCTATCATTCTCAATCAAAATTTGATACAATTGCATCTGTTCAACAATTTGTTACTGATCAACTTAATTATTTAATAACATCTCGACCAACAGCAGTCAATATGACAGAAGGTGCTCAAACAATTATTGATTATTTAATACCATTAAGTAATAAACAACAAGATTTATCGCAATATATTAATGAATTAATTGTTTTTATGGAACAATTTCTCGAACGTGATCTTGCTGATAATCATGCAATTGGTCAATATGGTGCTAAAGCTATAAGTGAAAATAATACTAGTCATAAGAAATTAAATATTTTAACTCATTGTAATACTGGTTCATTAGCAACAGTTGGTTTTGGTACAGCTCTTGGTGTTATTCGACAATTACAAGCAAATGATAATCTTGAATTAGCTTATTTTACAGAGACTCGACCCTATAATCAAGGTTCAAGATTAACTGCTTATGAATTAGTACATGATCGTATACCACATACAATGATTTGCGATTCAATGGCTGGTCTTTTAATGCGAACACAACCTATTCATGCTGTTGTTGTTGGTGCTGATCGAGTAACTGCAAATGGTGATACAGCTAATAAAATTGGTACTTATCAATTAGCTATACTTGCTAAACATCATAAAATACCATTTTATATTGCTGCACCTACAACATCAATTGATTTAAATAAAAAAACTGGTGATGAAATTGTTATCGAGCAACGTCCATCAAAAGAAATGACAAGTATTAAAGGAGTCAATATTGCTGCCGAAGGTAAAAATATTTACTAATATAAATTTCTTCATCTTCATTTGTTTTTTCTCTGATTTAGGTGTTCAAGTATGGAATCCATCATTTGATATAACACCTGCTAATTTAATAACAGGCATTATAACAGAACATGGCGTATTTAAACCGGATGAACTTGAAGAAAAATTATTATCTTTACGAAAGAAATAAAAATTATTTTTTTCCAATTTCTATTTTGTTTTTTTTCAAAGTAAACAAATCTGATAGTTGAGAGCTTATTTTAGATTATTTAATAAAAAACAATATTATGACAAATTTAATTGAAGAAGGTTCAAAAGTCATACTTTATCTCGGTTATAATAATTTACATGTGATTAAAATTAAATTAAATGAAGTCTATCAAACAAAATTCGGTGCTTTAAAACATAATGATTTAGTTGGAAAAGAATTTGGTAGTAAAATTATTTGTTCAAAAGGTTATGTACATGCATTACCAATTATACCTGGTAAAAGAAATTATTTAAATATGCTAGAATAAGATTATTTTCTAGAATTATGGACATTGGCATTACCACATCGTACACAGATTCTTTATATGGCTGATATTAGTTTAATTTTACTTGAATTAGATATTAAACCAGGTTCAATTGTTATTGAAGCTGGTTAGTTGTCGTTTTCTTTTTTTCTATTTGTAAAATAATTCATTGATAAATAGGTACTGGTAGTGGATCACTTTCTCATTCGATTATTCGATCTTTACGTCCAAATGGTCATTTATATACATTTGAATTTCATGAACTTCGTTCAAAATTAGCAAAGAATGAATTTGAGGTAAACATATTCGGGTAAGCCGAGTTTAATATATTTTTCTATTGGCTTAAAATATTTTTTTAGGAACATGGTCTTTCATCATTTGTTACAGCTCAACATCGTGATGTACTTTCGAATGGTTTTGAGTATGAAAATATTGCTGATGCTGTCTTTCTTGATTTACCAGCACCATGGGATGCTGTCGAACATGTGATGAAAGTTTTGAAAAAAACTGGTAGAAACAAATAATATCTTTTTTTTCTTATTAAATTTTGTTTCTTTTTTCAGGAGGTCGTTTATGCACTTTTTCACCATGTATTGAACAAGTTCAACGAACTTGTCAACGATTACGTACGAATGGGTTTGAAGAAATTAATACAGTTGAATGTTTACGTCGTGTACATGAATTTCGTTATCAACATCGAAGTAAAATTCGTTTTACTGCTGATGAAAATCAAAAAGAAGAAGTACAAGTAGAAGCAGAAGTAGAAGAAACAACTGATACTAAATCGATGAAACGAGAATCAACTGAAGATCGTGAAGAATTAACAACAAATAAGAAGTTGAAAAATAATTCACAAACAGCAATGATAAAAAAACAACCACAAGAAACTGTATCAATGTTAACAGCAAATGGTCCTTTAATTATGCCTGGTCATACAGGCTACTTGACTTTTGCTTATCTTAAACAAGAATAAATCTGAATGTGTTTTTTTTTGTGATAACAATAAACATAAATATGTCTACTGTTTAATATATGTTCTCATATGATCATATTAGCAGTATATTATACAATACGAAAAATGTGAATTTTATTAGTCATAGTTATTTACTTTATATTAAATACCTGCTTTCTAAATGTTACAAAATGCATCTGTCTAGGCGAGAGAGTAAAAAAAACAATCTGACATTTATCGAAAGGCTATTTTATCTCAATGATTTATAAAGAAAGTCAATGTGATTGAATATTTTCAACTGACAAAATGTTATATTTAGTAAACAAAAAAAAAGGAAACAGTTAGATATTTTGTTTTTTTAAATATATACATAATTTTATCATAAGTACATTGTTTTTGAATAGATTCAAGGTCGGCTATTTCGATCACATTCAAGTTGACATTCTCGAACAAGAACACGAGCTGAAGCAATAGCACGTCTTAAACGTTCAGCTGAATTTTTATTTCCTGCATATGTTGGTTTGATATCTTTACCCATTTCTTCAATAACATTAAGTAATTGAACATATTTTGTTTGTTGCATAACACGTTGTTGATGTTGTTGAACTTGATTTAATTGTTGTTGAACAGCTGGTGGAATAGGAACATATTGATGAGATTGTTGTTTTATTTGTTGCTGTTGTTGTTGTTGATGTACAGGTGTATGTGAAAGTGCAGAAGCAGTAGCTGGTGGTGGTGGAGGTAGATGAGGTGAATTTCGACCAGCTGAACCTTGTAACATACTAGATGGTGCGGCCGGATTTAAAATAGGTCGTGATGGAGCAACTGGAGATTGTTGTTGTGATTGTTTACGAATTGATAAATCCATTGTTAAATCCATCGTATTAATTATTAAAGAAACAAAAATTATTTTCCCAGAGATACCAAAAATAATACTATTTTATTATCACGACTACTTGATCGATATAATATTTTGTAATGGTGTTGATTTCTTTTTAATAGCCTAGTGAGAAAAAAAAATAAATTAATAAAACAAGAAAGAGCATGAACGGAAATAGATTGAAAAAGTTCATTGGTTAATATTTATTTTCAGTAAACCAGTATGATAAAATCATCTGTAGTTGTCGTTAATAATCATCATACTATCGTCTCGATATGATTCGATGAATTTCAAAAGATCAATTTTTTTTATTTAATTCAATCATTATATAAAAATTCTCATGACAAATAAAAAAAAAAGAGACAGCGAGAGTAAAGAAGATATATAATATACAATAAATAATACAGTGATTGAATCATGAACTTGATGTTGGTATTTCTTCTGCCACTACATTCGATATTTCTTTAGTCGAACGTTTATGTAATTCTTCAAGTAAAATAATAACACGATTTGTTTGTCGTTCAAGTTCGATTAATTTTATTTCTAACCTTTGTACTTTACCATTTAATGTTAATTGTTCACGATCTTTATCCGATAGAATAAATGGATATGTTTTTGGTAAACCTAATGTTTGATCTAAACGTCGTTGTATATCAGCAAGTGTATACATAACTTTTAAATTTCCTTGAGCATTCTCATCCATAATATCTTTAAAATTATATGGTTTATGTGCTTGACGAAATTTTCTTTTTGCTACATGATATTTTATAATACGAATCATTCGTATAGCAACACGTTGATTTGAATCTAAATCATCAGATTTATCAACTTTACGCCAAGTCATTTTTTCTAATGGAATACCATTCGTTGATGTATTATATATCAGTGGATTATTACGTAAACGTGGTATACCACCACTATTACTATTGTTTTGATTTAAAGCTAATGTCGAACTATTATGACGATGATGTTTATGTGATCGTTTACTTTCAATTCGATAAATACGCCATGTAGATACGAATTTTGGATGACGAGCAGCAATCATACGCCACCAATTTTGAATGAGACTAGCAGCAGCAGGTACCAAACGATTAAATTGTTTTTCACGTTTTTTTTGTTCAACTTTTAAAGCAAAACCTGAACCAATAATACCAGATGGTAATGTCCAAAATGCAACACCACAAATACATAAACATGATGTTATCATTTTGCCAATATATGTACGTGGACATTTATCACCATAACCAATCGTAGCCTATATAAACATATATATTATAAAGAAAAAAACTGATTGTTTTTTTTTCTAAACTTACCATTGTTACAATAGCCCACCAAAGTGTATCAGCAAAACTATGAAACATATCTTCACTAGCTGGTTTACTTTCATCTTTTTCTACTAACCAAATTAAATAAGCAACAACAATTAAGAATATAAAACAAAAATAAAGTGTAGCTATTAATTCATAACGATGATCATAAACAACAGAACCAAGTAAACGCCATGATGTCAAACGTCGATCAACATGAAGAAAACGAAGAATTTGAAGTATTCGAACATATCGCACAAGTTCAATACTAAATTGTGTATTACTTAATCCTATACATAATAAAATAGCATAACCAGTAATAACACATAAATCAACAATACACATGGCTTTACGCATAAATAATAAACGACCATGACGACCACGATATTTACTTCGACAACCGGATGACCAAACACGAACAGTATATTCAATAAGAAATAAAATAAAAAGTATAAATTCTATCCAAAATAATATTGCATAAGATTGTTCAACATAAACAGTTAATATTGAACTGTATACAAGACAACCAATAACAACAATAAAAACAGAAAAATGATAAAGAAAACAGAATATACCACATGGTCGTTCAAGAAAATTATAGACACGAGCTTGAAATGGATTATGTAAACGTTTCAGTAATGTATGATTACTTAATGGTGAACCATAATCAGTTTCTTCATCAAAACCATTTGTTTGTATTGAAGCTCCACTTACTGCTCGTCCAAGTTTTCTTGGTGGTGATGATAAGGAATTTTCATCTGTTGCTAAAGGCATAAAATGATGTGATGAACTATTCATGATTGTATTATATTATATTATATCACATAGCTATAGAGAGAAAAAAAAATACATAAGATATGATTTGAACAATGAGAATGATTATCACATGTTGTTTAATCACTAATAAATTCTTTTAACTTGTCCTCACGACATATACTTCGACTACTACCTGAGAGAAATGAAATAATGATGATAAAGTATTCTTTCTATATAATATGATTCTGTACATCCAAGAATATATATAATATGTATGTGGCACAGTATTCGAAACCTTCACTATTGAAATACGAATCTCTTTCTTTTTCTCTTTCGATTCTCCCTTTTCTCTTCGTATGACGCGTGTCGACAATAGCCAATGTTGTAATTTATATATATATATATACCTGATCAATGTCTTTCGAGTTTCTTTTTTTTCATTTACATTCTCAACAAGAAAAAAAAAAGACGAAACCTATTACATTTCTCGCTCCATTGGACGTATTTTTAATCGGGAAAAGATGAAAATACGAACAACTAGAAAAAATCTCATTTATATATACATAATTAAAATAAATCCTATGATGAGATGCTGTTGGGTTAGTTTATGAATAAACAGAATCAAAAAGAAAAAAGTATTGCCGTTTTTTCATTATATGTTTGATTAAAACAAGAGTTCTTGTTTATTATCTATATTATTTTAATAAGTGAAGAATACAAAAAAAAGAACCTTAGCAAACAAATCACTTTTCAAGTATAAAATAAAATGAAAAAGTAACATTTTATTAACAGATTTATTTGACATAATAAAAAGAAAAGGAATGATTTATTCAGTGATAAGACAAAAAAAATATTTTTTTATTCTACGTACAAATACATGGACAAGAATAGTATCAAAAGTATTTTATCAAATATTTCGGGGAAATGATAGTCATTCATTGAAGGATAATTTGCACTTATTAAATATTCATAAGAAAAAAAGAATGGTCTACTACTTTTAAAGTACTTTCACGAATAATATCGTCTGTTATTGATACCATACAAATCGTATATAAATAAGAGAAGTAATAAAAGTGAACTGAAATATATTACAAATCAAGAATTAATATTTAAGATTGTGTTCATATTAAATAGGTATGATATTGAAAGTAGACTCCAATATGTATCATTAATGGACTCGTATTTCGTTTTTTAATATAGAACAATGAAAAAAAACCACAATCTATTAAAAAATGTTATCGTAAAATAACTCTGTAGTTTTGCGATATGAATCATTATTCACTACAGACAAAATAATTCAACATAGAACAAGTGCATTTTTAATACCATTTGCTTTCTATGCTATTAATTCTTATCCGACAATTAAATATAGATGCATTATATTTTCGACTATTGTTTTTATGGTATAACAATAGATGACATAGTCATTGTATTTTGTTTAATGTTATATTGAGATGAAACAACAATATTACAAACTTCATAACAAAAATATGATGTTTGTAAACATAGAAAAACAGAAAACTTTAACAACAAAGTTAATACAAACAAAAACAAGTTTAAACGGTAACTAAAACAAACTGAATATCAATTTATTTTATTACTAATCATCATTGTCGTCAAATTTAATTTTTTTGCTAGTTGTTTCACCTGTACTATGGCCGTTTTCATGATTACCATTAAAGCTACGTTTCATGCCACCACCACCACGAGATCCACCACCAAATGACGGTCGTCCTTTTTTTGGTTCGGGACAGTCAAATGATTTATGACCATCTTTACCACAATTAAAACAACCACCACCGCCATCTAAAATAAATAGAATTTTCTCTTTTGATATCTTTTGATTTAAAATATGAACTTACTTGATTGGCCTCGTCCACCGGATCCTTTTGCATCTGGACAGTCAAATGATTTATGACCTTCTTTTCCACATTTGAAACAACCATTACCACCTAATACAAAACGAAATATTCTTTTCCAAAAAATCAAATTTCTATTAAAATAATTTACCGGATCTTCCTGCACCATTTGCTTCAGGACATTCAAATGATTTATGACCTTCTTTGTTACCTATAATAATTTATTTTATTTTTACCATTTATATTAAAATAGAAATACTTACATTTAAAACAAGCATCTAAAATGGCGCAACAAAAATAAATTAATTATAAAAAGATTTATAACTTTTCTTACTTGAAGAATTTCGATTACCAGAGTTACCTCCACCACGTGATGATCCATAGCCACCACGTGATGAAAAACCTCGACCACCACCACCACCGCCACCAAAACCACCACCACTACCATATCGAGACGCATCATCAAGTAGTGGCATTTCTGTAATTGCTTTCATTTGCATTCTTGGACTATCTTTCCACTTCTCTTGTAAAATTTCATCAAGTTCACTTGGTATATCAAATACAGCACTCTAATTATAATATATAGTATTAAAATATATATTTATTAAATATTATTATACATACTTTATAATCTTTTGTAAATCCAATTTGTGAACATTTACCTTTAGCATCAAAATCTTCACCAAAAACTTTACGTAACATAGTAAATACTAATCCAGCGCCTTTCATTTCATCTGTAACCGAGAACATATATGTTGTATGATTCTAGAAAAAGAGAAATTTAAACACAATAAGGGTAAAAAGATTATTTTACTTCTTTCTTTGTGAAGAGAGATCGAGGAACAATACTTGTTGTACCAGATATACAAGCTAATGCAGCTGCTAAAGCATCAGCTGCATCACATGTTGCAAGAATTTTTTCTGCTGCGTCACGAAAATGTGCTTTAGCAGCATCGGTTACACTATCAAGTGCTCTGAAAAAATTTTAAATGAAAATATATGAAATTGAGAAAGAAAAAACTTACTTAACTGCATCAGCCGATGATGCAGTAAGAAGATCTGCTGTTCCTGGTGGTTCAATACGTGTAAATTGAATGCCCTAAAACATGAGAATAATTATACAGAAAAAAACAATATCAATTGTATACATACTGCTTCAACTTCTACTCGTCTAAGATCACGTTGTTGATTTGATTTATATAAACAAATACATTTGCCTTGAGCACCTGCTCGACCTGTACGACCTGATCGATGAATATATGCTTCAACATCCTAAATCATAGATTGTATTTAATAGAAAACAATATGTCTAAATTCTTACTTTAGGTGGAGCTGTAACAAGAACAAGATCAACTTCAGGTATATCAAGACCACGTGCAGCAACATCAGTTGTAATTAATAAACGATATTTTCCTTCACGAAATTTCTAATTAAAATAAAATATTGAATTTTATTTTTTCAATAAAAAAACAAAATATTGATAACTACTACTCACTCTAAGAACAAGTTCACGTTTATCTTGTGGAATATCACCATGAAGTACATGTGCTTCAGCTTTAATATCATGACTAACTGAAAGTTCATCAGCTTCTTTTTTTGTTTCACAAAAAACAATGGCACGTCCATCAAGACTATTACTGGAATAGATTTGTACAAGTGAATTTATAACACCTGCTCGATCTTGATAAGTACATGCTACTGCTAAATGCTAAACAAAAGATAAAAAAGAGAGAATTTAGAAGCAACAAAAAAATAAATAAATTTTTACTTCAACATTCGAAGATGTTTTTTGTGCATTTCCTTTAACTAAATCAACTGTAACATAATCTTTTGTCATATATTTTGTTGTTGTTTTAAGTACCCAATTAGGCATTGTTGCAGAAAAAACAACAAATTGTGGTTTTACTTCTTGTTCTAAATAAAAAATTTATAAATTAATTTTTGTATATTTTTCATTCAAATAATTACTTGATTTAAACATATGACCAAGAATTTCTTCTACATCATCAATAAAACCCATATCAAGCATTCGATCAACTTCATCAAGAATAACATGTTTAATTTTACTTAAATCAAGTCTTTTCTTATCAATAATATCTTTCAATCGACCGGGTGTAGCAACAATAATATCACATCCATTACGAATACTATTTTCTTGATCTTCATATTTTTTTCCACCATAAATTGTTACAACCGACATATCAGTAACAATCGATTGAAAATCATCGGAAATTTGTTTTGTTAATTCTCGTGTTGGAGCTAAAGCAAGAACGCGTGGCGGACGTCCACGTGTTAATTTAACTGATGTATCATTTTGAAGTAATTCAACAATTGGAATTGAAAATGCTAATGTTTTACCAGTACCTGTATATGCTTGAACTAAACAATCTTTTTGTTCATGAATATGATTGTAACTTTGTGCTTGAACAGGAAATAAAAAATTAACATTACGATCTTTAAGTTTTTTAATTGTTTGTTTTGATATTTTAAAATTTTTAAAATTTCCTTTTTCTTTATCATCATCTGTTACTTGCACATTGGATGAACTAATTTTTTCATCATTTGTTTTCGTTATTTCATCAGTGCCATTCTCTTGTTCATCATTAACGACCATTTGTTCTTGTTTTATTTTGAGTTTCATTTTTTTTCTTATTATTATTATTGTTGGACAAAAAAAACACTAATGATAAATGATGAGATCTAAAAAGATATAACTTAAAACTAGCTATATATATATTCGAGAAAGAAAAATTCACCGAAAAAAAAAATTGGTTTTTTTTTTGGTTATCTATAGAAGCAAGATTATAAGAATAAAGTAGAACATAAAAATACTTTGTCTAAATTCTTAATTATAACAAAATTTGTAAAGAAAGACTAGCGCGGGCGGATATATCAAAAAAAGAGAGAGAAAATGAAATATTTTCATTGAATTATAAATATTTTCGAATATATTCAAATATACGGTCTTCCATATAGATACGTTCTTCAAATTTTCTTGGCATATGTCTTTCATCAGGCAGTAGTAATAATTCATACGATTTATTTGCCTTTATAAGTGCATTTACAAGACGAGCTGTATGACGAAAATGTACATTTTCATCAATTAAACCATGAATAATCATCAAATGTCCTTTTAAATTATTTATGTGATACATAATACTTGAAATTTCGTAACCATGTGGATTTTCTTCGGGTGTACCCATATATCTTTCTGTATAATGAGTATCATATCTAGATATGAAGAAGAAAAAGAAACCATTTTTAATATAAATATGAATTTTTAATAAAACTTACCCATCCCAATGTGTAACTGGTGCACCGGCAATACCTAATTTAAATATATTACTTGCACGAACTAATGCCATTGCAGACATATAACCACCATACGACCAACCATATATACCAACACGTGTTTCATCTGTAATACCTTGTTTGACAAGATAACGTACACCATCAATTTGATCATCTAATTCTAAATGTCCCATATCATGTTTTATTGCACTTTCAAATGCGACACCACGATTAGGTGTACCACGATTATCTAAACGTAATACAACATAACCGGATTGCACTAAACGTTGACAACGCATATCACTTCGAAGTGACCAAGAATTAACAACACTAGAATATTAAATTATAATATACAGTAGGGTGCAAAAACAATTGTCAGCTATTCTAAAGTTATTTGTAGATATTAAATACTGACTGTATTCATTTATCAAGATCGACATTGCTCAAAGAAAATACTATTACTTAGCTGATTGATCAATCTTATGAATGAAAGACTTGCATATCACTTATAAACTCAAGGAGAGAGAGAGTGAGAAAAATTTCGGTAGAGATCTCTTTCATAAATTTCACTCAAGTTTACACAAAAGAAGTGTAGAACAAAATATATATATCAATTTTAAATATTTTTCTTTCATTTTTAATTTCTGCTTACAAAAATAGAATGAAATGAAGAATTGTTTGTAGATGAATATTTCATTTCATCTGTTGCAAATGATTTGTAGATGATTGTTGGTTCTTACAACATATTTTTCATTAGATTTCAAGAGAGAAATCTATATACTAGAAATAGAATAATATCCTAATTGTAACAGATATTATCTCATAATTTCACAATTTCTGTAATCTTTTGTAAATCTCTTTATTATCCAATTTTGAATTCTATATCTTTTTTACATTACCGTTGAAGACATGGTCCACCATAAACAGATACAATTGTTGGAAATGGCGTTTTATATCTTTCTTGTTCATCATTTGGTTTATAAAGTGCACAATAAAGTGTATCATTATTTCTATTTAATATAGAAAATAATTTTGGTTTAACAAACTGAAATTGTTCAAGTGTATATAATTGTCCTTGTTGTAAATGAATAAAATTTTTAATAACTTCCTTTGTTCTAACATCTATCATTCTTAATAATGGATATTGATCAATTGAATTCCATTGTGTAATACAATATTGATATGTTTGATTAAAACAATGAACAACATGACAACCAGATTCTTGTGTTATACGATCTACTATTGGTATTTCATCATTATAATTAACACTATAAAGATGAATTTCAAGTGGTGTTTCACGATTAGCTAAAAAATAAATTATTGAATTTGTTTCATCAATATCAACAATACGTTGTACAACCCAATTTCCACTTGTTAATGTTTTTATTAATTTTCCTGTATTATAATCATGTAATTGTAAATGCATATAGCCAGTTTGTTCACTTGCCCATATAAATTGTGTGGGTGTTTTTTTTAATGTATAAAATAAATCATGTAAATTTATCCATGATTGACTAGTATCTTCAATCAATAATTTTAATTTATCTGTCTTGAGAAAATCATATTGATATAATTGTAAACGAGTTTGTTGACGATTTTCGATTTGTAATGCAAGTGTATGATCAGGAAAGAAATGAACGCGTGCGATATAATAATCATTAAATGAACTTAAATCAACCCAATGTATATTAGGTTGTTTCTTATTATCTTCACTGTTCAGATCAATAACACCAACAGTTACTTGAACATTAGCTTTACCGGTAAATGGATATCGATGTTCTTCAACCTAAGAAAATTTATCTTTTTTTATAAATTTCATCAATTATTCTTCACTTACATGATCAGGATCATCCGAACCAGAATGTGAAATACGAAAAATAGGTACATTTGATTCATCAACTTGAGTAAATGCAATAAAACGTGAATCATCTGACCACCAAAAACCATCATTACGATCCATTTCTTCTTGAGCAATAAATTCTGCAAGACCATTTGATTTATTCGGATAATGGCGAGCATCAAATGTCAATCGACGTGGTTGTGTTGGTGGATTCGATGACGCTGTAGATACACAATAAAGTTCATTATCTTGAACATAAGCAACAAATGTTCCATCAGGTGATAATTTAGGGTCAAGTATAGGTGATCGATGAGATCCATTGACCAAAAGACGAAGTTCTTTTTTATCATGAATATAAAGATCAGTACCAATAGGTATTAACATAATTGATTGCGTTTTATTTTTCGTCAATTGATAACGGGTTATACCAGTCATTAATTCACATTGACGCTAAGACGAGAAATGACGAAACTTAATTTAATTCTAATCATATATTTAACACACCTACTTCACGTTGAAGTTGTTCTTCTATTGAAAATTGATCATCCATAGTTTGATCTTCGATTTGTTGTTTAGCATATAGAAATTCTCTGTCTGTTCGAAGATCATATGCATAGAGTTGTCTCATTAATGAATGATTTGGTGAACGAAGATAAGTTAATAAATTATCATCAGGGCTAAAATTTATTGATTCAGCTAGATTAAATCCAGGCTGTGGAATTGATGCCACATCTCTACTTGTTATTTGTCTATGAGGCATCTAAAATAGATAAATATCTTTCAGATATCTATATATATATATATTATTGCACGATAATAATAAAAAAAAAGATATTGTTTTTCTCGCTAAATATATATATATATGTATAAACCGATCTTGATTATTAAATAAACATAACGCTGGATTTTATGTAGTAAAATTTAAAGAAAAGAAAAATCTAACGAAAATAATGGTAAAATGTATTAAGAAGGAATAATTGAAATATACATTATAATTGATTCAATTCTCGTTAGTCGCGTTTTTTCTGTTGAAGAGTTTCTTGCGATTGTTCATACGATGGTGGCATTGGAGGATACTATAATAATCAATTAATTAAATTAAAAAAAAATTTAAAAAAAAAGATTTTACTTGTTGCGGATTTGTTTGTGGAACATACATTTGATGACCATAATTATTATTGACAAAAGCCGATTGAGGTGGATATTGTGCTGGTGCTTGATATCCATTTGGTATTTGTGGATACATATTAGAATTATTCATTGATGCTGGAGGAGCTGATGGCATTTCAGGATATTGTGGAATAAATTCTGCTTTTGGAAGACCTGTTGGTTGTCGTTGATAAACTCCTTCATAGGGTGCTTGGGCTGCTGATACATACATATTTGTTTCTATAATTAAATATAAAATTTACAAATAGTTAATTAAAGAAAATATTTTACCTGCAAAAGTATTATTTGATGTTTGTGCTGCTTGATAGGATGGTGGTGGTGGTTCATAAAGATTAGCTGCAGCCATTCCATAAGAACTAAAATTCAAATATATAGTAGAAATATGATATAATAAAATATTTACGGTGGTGCTGCTTGATTTTGTCGATGAACTATAAAATAATCAATGAAGTGTATCAATTGATATTAAAAAATATGACTTACAAATTGAATTAACCTCACGTAATGCTTTACTAGCATCAATAGCGCCACCTGATGAATAGGTTAATTGGAATTTAACTTCACCTTGAAATCCACCTAAATATAACAGAAAAAAAAAGAAATACAAATGTCAATCATAACACATGTTCTTATCAATTAATTTGATCGTATGAAATATAAATAATACAACAAAACGAACACAAAGAGTAGCAAAAATTTTCGACAATGATCATCCGACAACAAATAGAAATTTTATTCTTCTTCATATTTATTACTATAACATATGAAGCAAAATCTGAAATTGATTATTATCGATATTTACAACAATTTGGTTATACACCAAAAGTTGAAGGTCGAAGACTTTTTTCTGTAGTAGCTAAACCATCCTATACAGATGGAATTCGTAAATTTCAACGTCTCTATAAATTACCGGTAAGTATATTTTCATTAAAATCTTATGTAAACTATAAATAATTTCAGGAAACGGGAGAATTCGATAAGAAAACAATGAATTTTATGCAAAGACCACGATGTGGAAATCCTGATCTTGGTACTTATGAATCTGTTAGACATCCAATAAATATTGATGCACCTCAAGCTTTATCTACGAATGTTCAAGGACGATCAGGAAAAGAGACTACATCTGTTTGGCCAAAAAAACATTTAAAATGGTTTATTGAATATTATCCTGAACTACAAAAACTTATTCGATCAAATGATCAAATACGTCGTATATTCAATCAATCATTTTATGATTGGGAAAAGTATTCTGATCTTAAATTTGAAATGGCTAAAAATAAATATGAAGCTGATTTTCATATAGGATTTCATTCAGGAAATCATAGTGATGGTTATCCATTTGATGGACCAGATCAAACATTAGCACATGCTTTTTATCCAACAAGTGGTGAGATACATTTTGATGATGATGAAAAATTTACAGATAATTATCATAATGAAAATGAAAATTATATATTAAGATCTGTTGCTACACATGAAATAGGACATGCACTTGGTTTATCACATTCATTCGATGAAGATTCAGTTATGTATCCTGTTTATAAAGAAATTAATTCAACTTTTCATTTATCAACTAGTGATCAACAAGATATACAACTTTTATATGGAAAACCAGAAATAAAACCTACAATTGAACAATCAAGAACAACTCTATCACCATCAGTAACATCAAGATATTCGTATGATATAATACCAACTGATAACTGGTGTTCTGGAGAATTTCAGACGGGTTGTGAAGGTCCCGATGGTGAACTTTATCTATTTAAAGATAATCAAGTATGGAGATATCAAGCTAAAAGAAAACGTTCATGGGATCCACAACCAACATTAATTAGCGAACGTTTTCCACCACTTTCCGATATTACTATAACAGCTTGTGTTAAATCATCACTTGGTTATACATATTTATTTCGTAATTATCGTATGTGGAAATTAAAAACACATTGGTCTGCTGATGGACCACATATATTACATGGTAGACATTATCCGCAAAGTCCACGTATAGCTTTACTACATCAAGATTCAATTTATTTAGTCCGTAATCGTTTTGTATATCGTTTGAATGAATTTGATTATGATAGTGAATTAGAAATTCGTAATATTAATACAATACTTAATCCACCACCAGATGAATTTATACGATCTGGTTTTACATATGCTAAACATCATTATATATTTACAAAAAAATATGTTTATGTTTATGATGCAATGTATGGAAATTTACTACGAGATTACCCAAAATCTATAACCAATGGTTGGTTTGCATGTGAAGCAGCAACACAAACATCAAATTGGAAAAAGAAATTAACATCAACAATACGACCATTACCAACAAAATCATTTCAAAAACATCATCATGATCATGACGATGAAGACGATCACCATTTTGATCATCATCATCACCATCATCATCATCATCGACCACGACGACCGTGGTCTCATCGTCAGCATCATCCTCCTCCTCCTAATGAATATCGTCGTCGTTGGGAAGATTAAAAGAAAATTATGTCTTCATTCACCTAAAAAAAACATTTTTTTTCTAGTATACAAAATAAATACACATTCATATATAAGCTATAGATCATTCCATTTCAAAGGTAAATGTTATACTCTTAATTCGATTAGAAAAAAGAATATCATATTTCGAAATTTCGTCATAATAAGACCTTATCATTTTTTCAATAATTAAGTAAACTAACCGTTTGGATGTGATGCAGCAATACCAGAAATATAATTAGCACCAAAGATTGGTTGTTCAACACTTAAATTTTTCATATACATAAAAGCCACAGCAAATGAAACTAAACTATCTCGTTGATCATCACTAAGAAAGACCATTCGATGAGTTGTTACAAATACTTTGCCTTTATGTTTGCCACGAAAAATGTCACCACATTGACGACTTGCATCATCAAATGCTAATGTTACATTTTTTGAATGATTGACAATTCTAAAATATATTTACAAAAAATAAATTAAATGAACGGAAGAGAGATTAATTTACTGTTCGCCTTGATAAAGTAAAAGACCACCTTGATAATGTGCTTGATTAATTGACATTTTAATATTTATAGTGTAGATCAAGAAATAAAATTGATATCGTAAAGAAAATATTCGAGTGCAAATAGTTTTTCGTAATGAGTAAATAGTCCAGGTTTTTCTTTTCTACATGCGTAGAATACAATCATTTTCTATAGGTTAGAAAAATAACCAATCATTGACTACTCTTTCTATTTTGATCTTTTACTATAATAAGTTGTATATATCGTAATATTTTTTAAATACTCATATCTATTGGAAAAAGATAATATATTTATAATCAACAAGTAGTTATTCGAAAAGGTTATAGTCAAATAGCGGCATCTGCCAAAACTACGACGCATATATAATATTACGAAAGTTTCTAATTTTTTCCGTGTGTAGCATTTTATTTATTTTTCGTACATATTGTTCATATGATCGATAAATCATAAAAAGTTCTGACAAAACTTTTAATTATATTTTTATTAGTTAAACATAATCTGATAGGAACAAAAAAATTTCAGATATGTCACGATATGATTTTACGAAAAAAATATCATTTAATAACCTCCATACAATAAAAATTACTGATGCGTTAAATTTTAGACTAAAAAAAACGATTAATTATTCAACCTGTTTATTACCCTCGAGATTTTTATTTCTCATAAATTTATTCTTCTAACCGTATTATATAGATCTTTTTCCTTTCTTAAATTCTTCGCCTTGACACGAAACCTGTATTAACAAGTTACTTATCTTTTAAAAAAATCAGTATTTAATTAACGAAACGATGTTATAATTATCTTGGCACACGTAATATTTATTTTGTGTATAGAAGCAAACATACGAGCATAGGTCATAGATACAAAAAGAAAAGAAAACACTTTATATGAAAGATTCATAAAAGTTATGGACTCGTGACAATTTGTCTTTTAATATAAATTCAATGATGTCAACGTACAAATAAAAAGAAAAAACATCTCGAATCAATAGAATATATATATATATATATTAAAATTTCTTGTCTCCCGAGTTCGTTTTCAATATAAAATTATGCTCATATGAAAAAAAAGTATTTTCTCAATTGATAAAAATAAAAACAGAAAAAGATGAAATAGGTTTAAAAACCCGAAATATTACACACATACACTTGTACCAATTTAATATTTAAATACATAACAAAATTAAAAAATATAGAAACAACTCCGTCGTTTCTATGTATGAAAACATTTTACTCGGTAAACAGGAGAAAAGATAAAAACGAAGAAGAAAAAATTTCTGTCTATTCAAGATTAACAACAGGTAGATTTTTTCGATGTCTTTTTATCCAAATCTATTCCAACTGTACGAAAACGTTCTAAATCTTCGTTGCATTGCATATCTCTATAATGAAATATATTTTTTAGTAGAAGAATATTATTGCATATTTACCGAGCTAATTCAACAAGTGTTGCTTCAGAATTTGTACCATCTTTTGCACTTGTTTCAATAAATAATGCTTTATATTCCTAGAATGTCATGTATATATATTTAATAGGTTAATTGCCATCATTATTTTTCTATCAAAACAAACCTTAGCTAATTTGATGCCTTCTGCTTTTTCAATAACACGTTTTCCTTCTGCGCGCATTTGATCTCTTAAATCAATTTTATTTGCAACTATCATAACTGAAACTTTTTTTGGTGTTGAATCTGTTATTGTATCAATCCATTCACGAACATTTAAAAATGATCGTTCATATGTTGCATCATAAACAAGAATAACACCATCACATCGACGAAAATATGATTTGGCAATACTACGAAATCTATAAAAACAAAAAACAAAAATTAAAAATATAATCATTTATTTAATAACCTTTCTTGTCCAGCTGTATCCCATAATTGTAGAGCTACACGTTTACCATCAACTTCAATTTGTTTATTTTGAAAATCGACACCCAATGTTGCATTAGCAGATGATTCAAATTTTCCTTTACATAAACGCATAATCAATGTACTTTTACCAACAGCAGCATCACCACAAAAGACAACTTTAAACATGCGACTGAAAATAAAAAATTGAATTAAAACGAGAAAAAAAATCACATTTATTAAATACTCGAATGAGAGTGCATCTTGTGCACTAAATGCTAATGATTTATCCGCACGTGTCAACGCAGGTGATTGAGTAGCTGATTGTTTTCCTGATGAATTTCCATTGGCATTCGCTCGTTTTGGTGGTCGCGGTTGAGATTGTCGTTTAGTATTATTACGATCAAGTGAAACCTATAAGAATATATATATTTATTAGTTGAGAGTGTAGATAATAACAATTTTCTTTTATAATTTAAGATTTATTTCACGAGATATCGCGACATGTGCTCTATTCTACACAAAGAATTATAGTTCAATTTTTGATAGTACTACTCGAAGGTTTTCTTTTGTATCACGTCATACATTGTTTCATTCAGGTAAACTCCCCCGTCATTTATTATTATAGAAGAGCAAACAATATGAATGATTTCAAGGATTGTGTCATAAAGTGTATCATACGATTATAGACATTAATAAAATATACTTTTTGAGAAGAGATAAACAAAAGTTTATATTTTTTTTACCTCAACAAAAACATCATCTGAATCTGTATCGTCAGTAGTTCGTTTGGTCAGTAATGATCGATATTGTTTAGTATTGGCGAGTGATGGTTTTTTATTTACTTGTATATCACGTTCTGATTCAACTTCAGTTGCTGTGAGACCTGTTGCCAATGACAATCCACTATCTATAATAAACAAATGTATTGACCTATTTTATCAAAATAAAGCATCATTTATGATTAATTGCATAGCAAGAACCATGTTAGTTTTTTTTAGTAATATTTGTTATTATGCTAATGTTTCATGCAAACAAACCATTCATAGTATTGTTATCGTCAGTGAAAGTATCAACAGTAGAAACCGTAGCCATGGATAACATTTGTTTTGGTGCAATATTAACATCTACTTTGTTCAATGCTCGAGATTTATTTTCAAGTATACCTATTTCATCGCATGATTCCAGGTCGAATGAAGCAAATTTTCGTTGATTTCCAGACATCGTATACGATGGTGATGGACTATATGGACTATTTACACTAAACAATATTAACATTATCATTTTTTTTATAAAAAAACACCCAAAATTAATTAAAATTACCTATCTATTTTTGATTTATTCCAATAATTACCAATCGTTGAACCAGCTGTTGATACTAAACGTCCAACTTGTAGAAGACTCTAAAAACGATAATTCTAAGTAAGTATTTTAATTTTTATTCAATAATTATTTACATGTTTTTGAGAATTATTATGCGATTTATTTGTTTCAATAACTGCACGTAATGAATCATTTTCATCACGAAGTTGTTTATTAACTTCTCTATTAAAATATTAAAAAAAACAATTTTTTTCTTTTTTTTTTTTCGTTTTATTTAATTACGTACACAAGATGACGAACATTTGTTTGTAATGCGTCTCTTTCTCTATGATTGCTTGATGACGATTGTTTTTCTCTTAAAATTAAATCAAATCATATAGATATTAATATTGATTATTTTTTATTTATACTGTAAAAGCATGGTTTGTCTTTCATTTAATTGAGTTTTAAATGATTGTATGTCACTTTGTAATATTGCATTTGTTGTCAATGTTTCATTTAAAGATGCATTAAGTGTTTGATTTTCTTCTATTAGTTTAGCTATTTCTTCACGTAATGGTATTGCAGAAGAATCTTCTTCATTTTTACGAGCAGTAAAACGTTGTTCAATCTAATATAAAGAAAATGATAAAAGAATATTCTATTTAAAAAAGATTTACTGTTTGTAAACGTTGAATAGTTGATTTTAATTCATTGATTTCTTTCGCTGAACGTTGTTGATACAATTCACGTTCATGATCAAAACTATTCCGTTCCTTGATGATACGAAAAAAAAATAATTAACTGTGATAATAGAAACTAATCATTTACTTCTTCTCGTATTGTATCTTCTAAATGAAGCATATCTTGTTCTTGAACTTCTTCAATATGTTTTAAATATTTTTCATGTGTATCTTTTTCACTTGAAATAAAAATAAACATAGGAATAAATATAAAAGAAAAAATAAATACCGTTTATAGGAATCTTCTAATCCTTTGATTTCTTTACGATATTTAAGAATATCACAAACAAATACTTCGAGAATATTTTGAAATTGTGGAATTGTTTCACTTGAACCATTTCGAAGTGTTTCATAAAATTCAAAGATTTGCTCTTGACTATCAAATAAAAAAAATACTTGTATATATATATTTGAATTATTAAATTCTTATGAAAGACAAAGAGAATCTTTTCTTTTTACATACTTAGAAAATATATCATCATCCGACAATTTAGTACTAATTAGATTCATCCTATCGGTATAATCTTGCAAAATATTTATTTGAATATTTGTACACGTTATATTGACGAAAAAAATAGCGAGGATCGTTTTATAAATGACGTTATCGATATAGTGACTTGCATTATACTCATTTTTTTCCTCTTCGTTCTCCTACTCGTCTTTTTTTTCAACGATAAGCACAATTTCGTCTATATATGTACATAAATATTGTTTATGAAAACAACGCAACGCTGCTACGACTAGGCAAATTAACCTGACTTTTTTTTGCGCCTAGGTAGGAGAAATTGTGCATGATTGTTAGTTTGAGAAAAAAAAAACGAACGAAAAAACAGTTACTAATACAAAGTAGGTGTCGATATGCTTGATAGTAGCTATTGTAATTAACCTACGCATATAGAAAGATAAAAATAATAATTTTAATCAAGCTCTATATCGTAGTTATTTTTAATATTCATACCAGTTAAGACTATTGAATATTTCATTGATCTGCGTATGTGGTACTATATTTTTGGTTTTATAGTCATGATTGAATACATTCTGTTTGGATAATTCATAAGGATAATTATTTGATTGTAGAAGTTCTTTTAAACAAATACGATTATCATGATCATTATCAAAATCATTAAATATTGTATCAATTTCCAATGACGATAAATGAGGACATAGATGATGAAGTTTTTCTTTATCAATATAACCACTTCCATCTGAATTTAACATTTGAAAAATTGTATTTAAATCATTTGTATTATTCATTATACAAATCACATTCGTTTAACTGATAAAGATTTAATATTAACTTGACTATTGACGATTTTGTTTTGTTGATGAATGCCAATGAGGTATATATATATATAGCACCAGATGCTTTTTTTATTCAATGGAACGAGGATACAAATAAATATCAATTATAGACTTCTATAATTTACGCTCGTCACAATGGTAGGCAACACATTTTTTTTCTACTCAATTTTCATCACATCCAGTACAAAAAGTATTTAATCTTGACAAGGTGAAATATTATAATTTATTAGAGATTAAAATTTATCGTTAGTTCTATATGAACAAAGAAAAATATTTTAGATATTAATCAGTATATACTATAAACGCTGTTGCTGTAGCAATCATATCATAACCAAAATTCGTTTTAACAGTAATTGATCGATCGGTATCTTGATTCCATAGACATCTTGAGGCGATAGACATTGATTGATGTATTTGTCGACTAGGCGCTGTTTGTACAATTGAAACACAAATAATAATTTTATATCGTACAAAATTTAAATAATCTGGTTTAATCACTCGACGTAATTGTTGAGCTAAATCACGAACAAGATCAAGAGCTAATTTTGGATCATAACGAATTGTTCTTGATATTTTACCACAACGACGATTAAGTTCTAATTGAAGATGTTTTTGTGCACGTGAAAAATCAAATTTTTTTTGAGGTTCAAGAGCATATGTTGGTAATTGAGAAGATAAATTAACAGTAGTTATATCAGAATTTGTACTTATTTCTCGTTGCCAATTTTTATTCCATACAGGAATTGTTAAATTCGTTGATGTTTGTTGATCATTTGTTCGTTTTGTTACTGTAAATGCTCGTTGAAGTAAACCATGAGTAGCAGGCAAACGTTTTGCTTCCATTTAAGTGATTTCTACTTATATTATGACGATGTTTTTCAAAGAAACATGCCTTTAAATATTGATTGTTAATCATAATCTTTCTATTATTAAAATTGAACATGTAAGAAACATAACAATTATACATCTGTGCTTGTCAATCACTCGTTTTCTTCTTATTATTAAATCTGACAAAGCAAATGCTTTCTTTCTTCTTCTTTTTTTT